CTAAACGCAATGTTTAATTCAAACGGAGGATTATTCATGCGTGCGGAACTTCAGATAAATTGAATCGTGGCAAAAATAAGGTGGATGGTGACGTAGACGGTGGGGTAAATCTAATCTGGACAAAAACGATTATATCTCCTAGTATCTGCTGCGCATCGCACACGCTTTATCCAAAGATGTATTGCTAAAAAAGCCTGTTTAAAAAATTTGGTGTAGGGATGGGTCAAGGGAGCGTTCTTGATTATTTTCCAGGGTTGCCAAAAATCTTTTTAGTTCTTCAAGTTTGTCTGTTACATTTTGATGGCTTTTTTCAGGGTCAGATTCCTATACCAGAAGTAATTCCGTTCGAAATTCGCCCACCGGTGAGGCCTCGTCGAGATATTCAATCGCAGCCTGTTTCTGGTTTGTTCTGATCTCTTCCGATTTTCACCGTCAAATTCGATCCGAAGTGTCGGATTGTGCAGTTGCTATAATAGATGCCTTCATCGGTGTTCAGATTGAACATGAGTCATAGCCATGTGTTGCATATTAAGCATCAGTGGTAACCTTAGCAGATTGAATGGTCCTGTTAACGGAAGTCCATCGTTCACGTAGGATCGAAAAAATGCAGACGCACTTCTTTAGCTACACGCAAACCTGTCTTACATCAACTCTGAAAATACTTTGCCACTAAACCAACGTAATGTCGTGATATGCACCTAAGGTTGTTGGCTGCATTTAGACAATTGAATAGAAAGAAACTCGCCGACTTTTTTTGATCACTGACAAAACCGTATGACGACTTTCAAGGTGAAAAAGGCACGTCAAAGGCGACGAGACTGATTCAGTGCGATTTAAAGGAAGGTAGAAGCGGGGAATGAGGATGTGCAAGGTCCTTTCAAGTGCAGGACGAGGAAGGACTGTTTGGTGAATTATTTCAGTCATGCAGAATCGAGTTTACTTTCTCTGGAAGGCCCAGATTATGATTGTTTGTTCGACCTGATTATTCCGCTCATCGGTTTTTACTGCTTTCAAGAAATAGCATAGCTCTCTGGTCATATAAATATAACTGGCTAGCGCACTGACTGCCCGTGCGAAGTTGCGTTTTTTTTGCACAGTTCCCTGCAGGTGCTTATTGCCAACGGCACTGGTTTTTCCGGCAGGTGCGTTTAGCTGAAACAGTTGAGAGTGGCTGCCAGGATTGTCAGGGAACATCCCTTTAAAATTTTAGCTTTCTAATTTTTTTGGTTTCCGAGTTAGCAGCTCACCTGCAAAAAATTTTCACGGGCTCGTACGTGAGGACCACGCACACCTGGGGGGCTGGATTTGAAGTTGTTGGATTGTACGTGGTTGTAGGATATCCGCTTATAATTTCTGCTTTCTATTTTTTTTGGTTCTCAAGTTAGCAGTTATTCCGCCAAAACTTTCACGTTCCCGCACGTGAGTACCACGCGAGCATGAGCGATCATTTTAAGGATAAGCGCTTGTACACAGACGTAGAGTAAATTGCCAAAGTTTCAGTCTTGTAGCTTTTGTAGGTCTTGAGATGAAAAGTTTGATACAGACGCACACACAGGAAATCGCTCGACAGTATGCGTTTTTACATGGCATAGATGTAAAAAAAAAAGCCTAGAAATAATTCTGAGTGATCCCGAATCAGATAGTTCGTTTCTTTCTGATTTGCGGTTTCACCTTTATAGTACTCTTACTCTTCCCTCAGATGATGCGGACAGTTATAAAGGAGCTGTAAAAGTTAGCAAAATGCATGATTGGAAACGGTTTGATTTTGATGATGCAACGCTCGGATGTCACTCGCAGCAGCAGCAACAACAACAACAACAACAACAGCAGCAACAGTACCATTCATTTAGCGATGATCACCTTCATGTTCATCCTACAAATCAGGTCACTGTTTTTCATTATTCCATTCTCTAAAAGCTAAATGTTCGATCCGTTGGGGTGGCTTCGAGTCTTTTATGGCCGAAATCTGGTTCCTTTAGAAATTTCTTTTAATTTCAGTACATCTGCAGCGGTAGACATTGTGGATGAGCATAACGAATAGATTAGCTAAAATACGAAACAAGCGGCTAAGGTAGTGTGTTATACATCTAACACTATCTGTAAATAAATAATGAAGACAAATAGAGGAATGAATTTCAAAATGATGTGATGATATAGCTTAAGTCTTAAAAACCACGAAGAACTTCTCAGCTCTCATTGTCGGTCTTAGAATTGTGCACTGCAATCGGGGTAGCTATTCAGAAATTTCCTGGATAAACATAGCAAAAGAGCATATTCCATCCTTTTTA